CCTGCCACCGGTTGAGAAGGACCTCCTGTGGCTTGTTTCGAAGAACCCTCTCCTCGTGCCATTCTCTTCAAATCCTCTTCCCGTAAGTATACCTCGTAGCATTTTTGCTCGGAAAAGTGTGTGACCTTGAGCCCTTTGTTCAGAAAACCTCCGGCCCGAAGCTCTTCATACCCAATGACCGCAGCACCAATTCCCTCTTCCGTAGATGCGGGGATTTTGAAGTAGTCAGCGAGTTCTGTAGCCACATGAGCTAATGTAGGGTAGCTCTTGGATCTATTACGCGTATCGACAAGGGCTTGCTTGAGAAACAGAAGTAGGCATATCGACTTCTTCTTGTACATCGCCCACATAACCAACAACTCTTGTTCGCTGACTTTATTCGCCTCTTTCTTCCCAAAGATGTTGTAAGAGAGGAATTTATGCACAATTGCGATAGGTATCTCCTTGATCAGACCGGCAGAAGGTCCTTTTCTGTTGAATGACGAGCATGGTGAGAAGTCGGTCCAGTGCATATCAGTTTGGAAGTTTTGGGGTTTTTGACGAGCGCTCGTTATCTTCAAGCCATAAATCTCGCATAGAACTTTATCCGTGATTTTGATCTCCTTCCCGCTTAAACGACAAGTTAGGAAGTTGCCGTTGTCATGTACCTGAATCGTGCTAAAACACTCGAGGGCTAGTGTCCGGAAGGCGGTTAAATTATCCATGTCCGCGTATTTCTCCAAGTGAAGTTCTTTCAAGTACGAGCGGACGGCATCCTCGATTTGATAATGCTTCAGCAATGCCCATTCGAGTACTCGGGGCTTAGGCATAGGCCGTGCGGCTAGCCGCTTGTATGCGGCTACCTCGGAGTCATTGAAAACTGGAAACGGGATGCCGTGAGTTTCAGCCAAGGTGGGGATATCTTCCCCCGAATCGGAGTCTGAGTTGTGAGAGGTGTCCGATGACTCGGGCGGAGTTGCTATGACGGCCTTGTTTTTGCCTTTGCTCGTAGAAGGGGCTTTCGTGGCCTTTCTTGTTTTCACCATATTGATGAGAGGATAAATTCAACGAAAAGGAGTGTATACGAGCGGAAAAGCTTTCTTTCGCGGTTGGGGCAATTCAACAAACACCTTGTGGGCGGAATGGAACAATAGAAGCTTGTGAAGAACTTGAATGAAGCTATGCCCAAATTCAACACCTCAACTAATTTTTCAAAAAGATTAGATGACTTCCCGTACCTTGCAACGTAGGAGACAACCGAACTACAATGGATCGCCGGAAAATTAGGGTTCCCGGATGTGCTATTTGGAGCAAATTCTGCCGGAAGAAAAGGACTGGGCGGAGATGGAGGACCGTTGATGAGGTTCGCCGGCGGTAGTGTGCTTGGAGTTTGCGCTTTTAATGGTGAAGGGCAAGAGCGATTTATGATGGAGAGTTTCGACAAGGGTCACGCTTGAGAAGTTGAAGTCGATGAAGCAGAGAAGAAGTGAAGACACGCAGCGATTTTTTTTT